TGTCATTATGAAAACGTACGTCGAGGCAGAAGAACAGGATGTATTTTATTTCAGTGTATAGCATGGCTTACGCATCTTAAGTACTGAGGCAGAAATGGGTCTTAGTGGGTCTCGCAGTTTAGGGGTAGACCTAGGAATATGGCCTAATCCTGTCCCCAGGGATCTCCCAGATACTCATTCATTCAGCAAATAGGTGCTGCGTGCCTACTGTGCTGGCCAGGCGCCGGGCTGGGTAGTGGAGAATGCCCGTGAGCAGCAGCTAGCCCTGCCCTCGGGAGCTGAGCCTCTGGAGGAGGCAGACGTTGTGCACATCATCAAACAACACTGGTCCGTTATCGCGGAGGCCACATCCTCCATGGACACGGAGATGTCCTATCCCGATCCCACTGCAAGAAAGGTTTCCCTGCTCCAGCTACTGGAGCGCTGGTCTCGAAATAAGCCTGGCCCCGTTCTTAGTCTGAAACCATGAAAAACAAAGCCAAACAGACAAAAGAGCAGAATCTGCAAGGAAGCATCCACTGTCTCCAGCTCCCCTAGATCAGTGGCTCCTCTGAGTCCTTGCTGCTTCTCCCCCAGGCCCGAGGGTCCTGCCGAGGGGGCAGATAAGGGGCATTTACAGGAAGCAGATTCATGCTTTGGAAGGCAACCCTGCCACGTTAATTTTTCCTGAGGTCATTAAAAAATACATGCTTCAAAACTAAAGAAAGAAAAAAATACATAATTTTGTGTTCCATTTTGCGTCAGGAATCTTTGAGATAAAATCAATACGGCACTTCAAATCCTAAAGCTCCCTTGTCCTCAAAAATATGGTGTGGTCCAGTGAGAATGGGGAAAATTAACAAGGCAGGAAACCGCAAATGTTGGAGAGGATGCGGAGAAAGGGGAACCCTCTTGCACTGTTAGTGGGAATGTGAACTGGTGCAGCCACTCTGGAAAACTGTGTTTGAGTTTTTAACTCAAAGAGTTAAAAATAGACCTGCCCTACGACCCAGCAATTGCACTGTTAGGGATTTACCCCAAAGATTCAGATGCAATGAAATGCCGGGACACCTGCACCCCGATGTTTCTAGCAGCAATGTCCACAATAGCCAAACTGTGGAAGGAGCCTCGGTGCCCATCAAAAGATGAATGGATAAAGAAGATGTGGTTTATGTATACAATGGAATATTCCTCAGCCATTAGAAACGACAAATACCCACCATTTGCTTCGACATGGATGGAACTGGAGGGTATTATGCTGAGTGAAGTAAGTCAATCAGAGAAGGACAAACATTATATGTTCTCATTCATTTGGGAAATATAAATAATAGTGAAAGGGAATATAAGGGAAAGGAGAAGAAATGAGTGGGAAATATCAGAAAGGGAGACAGAACATAAAGACTCCTAACTCTGGGAAGCGAACTAGGGGTGGTGGAAGGGGAGGAGGGTGGGGGGTGAGGGTGAATGGGTGATGGGCACTGAGGGGGACACTTGACGGGATGAGCCCTGGGTGTTATTCTGTATGTTGGCAAATTGAACACCAATAAAAAATAAATTTATTATAAGAAAAAATATGGTGTTGGCCTGAAGCTAGCCTTATTCTTGGACGAGTTCTAAATGTGCAACAGGCATCTCAAAGGTGGAACAACATCGGGGAGAGGGTGCAGGGTATGGAGGGCCTGTGGTGGGAACAACGGGGCTCCCCCCTCCTCCCTCCCTGCAGCAGGGTGTCCGTAAGTCCAATCAGCACCCCCAGGATAACCTCCCATAGACCCCATCCTGCCAGAGACACCTCTGGGCTCGCTCCTCCTGGTCGGGGCCTGTCTAAAGGATTGTACTCTCAGTCGTGTATTCATCCATTTACACTCCCCAGGGCCCCTAGAGACAGGAAGCACAAATTAAATATGAATTAACAAGAAGATGCAGTAATTACGGTAACCAGTGTGCCTGGGGATGCACACCACCAGATCGCAAGCTCCATCCACAGCTTCAAAAAGCCTCCAGTTCACAACACACCGTGGCTAAAGAAAGAAAATTTGGCCACGAATGCTGTGTTTGTGTATTTCTTGTCCTCACATACAGAGATGTTTCAATGAGCTCGGCTCCCAAACCAAAGAGCACTCATTCCCTTGTGGTCGGGGGCGCCCCAGGTATTCCTGGCGGCTGCAGGTCAAGGAGTCCCGGCTGGAGGGAGCCCAGGCAGGTGTGTGCTCGGGCTGCGTGGATGCGTCTGGGTCCACCTGCCCGTACGTCCCGGGCTCCCCAGCCCCACCCAGATTTCCACTTCAAGTACACAGCGGGGGTATAAGTGTGTGGTTTCAGTAGCCGATTCCAGCATTCCCTGGCACCAGTGTGGCCAGGTAGAGTGATGATGATTTTAATGACATGTCTGTGAGCCGGAAACCTCTGGGAAAGCTCTGCTGTGAACAGATTCCAGCAGAGCCCACGGAAGGGGAGGTGGCCCTGGGAACACACCCCCCCCAGGAAGAGTCTGGCCTTCCAAATTCAGGGAGTAAGTATTTGGATCAATCTTCTTAATTTTTTTTAATTTATTTATTTTATGATAGTCACAGAGAGAGAGAGAGAGAGAGAGAGGCAGAGACACAGGCAGAGGGAGAAGCAGGCTCCATGCACCGGGAGCCCGATATGGGATTCGATCCCGGGTCTCCAGGATCGCGCCCTGGGCCAAAGGCAGGCGCCAAACCGCTGCGCCACTCAGGGATCCCTGTTTGGATCAATCTTATCCAGATGGTATAGGGGCCTGGGAGTCCCTGCCGCCACCCGGGCTATACAGGATTTCCAGGAAATCAGCAAAGATCGGAGACTATGGCCCAGGGCTCGGCGCCATGGAAGGGTCGGCTGTGTGAGAGCAGGTGTGCCTCCGAGCAAGCGGGCTGCAGAGACTACCAGCTGCCCCAGCAGCCGCTCCCCTCCTCTTCCTTAGCCACTGAGCTCTGGTTTTAACTGAAGAAACAATGTATGCAGCTAAAAAGATTACATCCCAGACTTCCTTGCAATGAAGTATGGCCTTGTGACTAAGTCCTTGCCCATGAAATTGGGTGAAAAGTGTGATCTGGAACTCCCAGAACGGCTGCTTAAATTGATATAACTCAGCCAGAAGGGGGGTGCTTCTATTCTCCCCAAGCCCTGCCTCTGGACTTCCTTCTACAGGCCTGGAGCTTGAGCACAGTGGCTGGAGCTCCAGCAGCCTCTGGTACCATGAGGTGGCCTTGAGGATGAAAACCACATGCCGAGGATGAGCCGTGTGGCTCCTCTATGACACTGCGGTGCTGCATACAAACCCCACGCTTCCCGGCCCTGGAATGCTTTCATGGGAGAATGAGCAGCCTCCTCGATGTCCCTAGACGTGATAAGCTCGCTCCGTCCTCGGAGCTTTGTACCACTAGTCCTTCTGCCCGGGGCATTCTCTCTCTGCAGATACCATCCAGCTGGCTCCCTCACTTCCTTCGGCCTCCGGGCAGGAAAGCACTGAGGATGACATCGAGCCTTCTCTGAGCAGCCTGCTTATAAGAACATCCACGCCCCCAGTGCTCCAGAGAAGTCATCGCTACCTTATACGCTATCTCTTCCTCATCCCTTTGCTTATCGTATGTCTCCCTCTTCCTGGGATATAAACACCACAGGGCAGAAGTGGGGCTGTTCTGTGCTCCGCTGCATCTCCTGTGCCCAGAACGGTGCTTGGCACAGAGGGGGCACTCGATAAAGCTTTAGGGATTCAGTGAATGGCATGATCATCATCCTCCCAGGCTCTGGTGTGAGGTCCATCAGGCTCAGGAAAAGCCACCGTGGGAACCAGGGACTAGGCTGGGACTGGGGCTGCCTGTCTGCCATGGATAGGGTGGAGGAGAGGGCATGGAGTGCACCCTCTGGATTCTCGTGGGCTTACAGGGGAAGCAATGCTAGCCCCTAGCCCCCTTTCTGCCCTCTCACAGTTCTGGTGTGTGTGTCCACATCCTGGCAGCTCCACCCAAGGTTCACAATGTGCTGAGATGGCCACAGAGCCTGTGGACCAAGTCTGCACCTCGTATACCCCCATGAGGCAGCCGCAAGGAATACTGGATGTGTGGGATGCTGGGATGATTTTATGCATCCGCTTGGCTGGACTATGATACCCATATGTTTGGTCCAACATTAGTCTAGAGGTTTCTGTGGAGGCATTTTTCAGATGAGATTAATATTTGGGCAGCCCAGGTGGCTCAGCAGTTTAGCACCACCTTCAGCCCGGGGCCTGATCCTGGAGATCTGGGATTGAGTCCCATGTCGTGCTCCCTGCGTGGAGCCTGCTTCTCCCTCTGCCTGTGTCTCTGCCTCTCTCTCTCTGTCTCTCATGAATAAATAAAATCTTTTAAAAAAAGAGATTAGGGGCAGCCCCGGTGGCACAGCGGTTTAGCGCCACCTGCAGCCCCAGGCGTGATCCTGGAGACCCTGGATGGAGTCCCACATCAGGCTCTCTGCATGGTGCCTGCTTCTCCGTCTGCCTGTGTCTCTGCCTCTCTATGAATAAATAAATAAATAATCTTTAAAAAATGAAAAATAAAAAAATAAAAAGAGATTAATATTTAAGTGAGTGAACTTTGAGTAAAGTAGATTATCTTCCATAATGGGGGTGGGCCTCATCTAATCATCTGAAGGCCTTAAGAGAACTAGGCCTGATCTTGCCTGAGGAGGAGGGAATTCTGCAGCAGAGTACCTTCAAACTCAACCTGTACCTCTTCCCTGCATCTCCAGCCTACCGGCCCATCCTGCAAATTTGGACCTGGCAGCCCCACAGCCACTTGAACCAACTCCTTAAAATAAGGACTATCTGTTTCTCTGAGGACCCTGGCCAATGTAGGTCCACTCTCTTTCCACCCCCCAGCGAGCACTGAGAGGGCCGGGATGTCTGATGGGAAGGATGCCTGATGAGCATCACTAATAACAATGAGGAAACACAAGAATGTCTCTCAAGGAAGTGGGACGCGCCTCGACCCTCTGGGTCAAACCAAGAACACAAGTGGACATCACACACGACAGCACAGGGCTCAGCGCGTGGACGCCGAGCACCGTGGATTTATTTACCACTAATGAAGAGCCAGGCCCACAGCCACAGAGAGGCCGCTGAGGCTGCTGATGCCGCAGGTGGGGGGCGCGGCGCTCCTGGTGTCCGGGACCGCCGACAACCTCACGCTGGCGGGAGGGCGGGCAGCACTTTCCCAGCACACTGGCCGAAGCCGACACGGTACCCGTCCCCCTGGCAGTGTCCTGGGGCAGAGAAGGACAGGGTGAGCCACGAGGCTGCCGGGCACACTGGACACCACCCGGGCGGCCTGTGGCTGGGCCCTAGGCGGAACCGCTGGCATGTATTTCAGACAGAAGAATCACTCTCCCCAGAGGCCAAGCGGAGGCCGAGCGGAGGCCAAGCAGAGCCACGGAGGACCACGAGGAGCTCCAGGCACGCTCTGCCGCCTAGGCCCCTCCGAAGCACTGGCTCCGTGGCTTTCCTGACAGGGGTCACCCTCCCCGAGTGGGCTTGGGTTCAAAGGCCAGGCCTGCTAATTGGCCAGAGGCCACACGGCTGGACTCCCAAACCTGGCCGCTCCACCTGCTGGCCGTGGGTCTCCCCAGAACCCTGTCTCCTCCTCTGTGAAGTGGCTCTGGGGACAGTACCCACGGCGTGGGGCTGAGCTCACGTGCAGGAAACAGGACAGGAGCCCGTCCTTGCCTGGATAGAGCCGGCGCCTGTGGCAGTGGCCACGGGAAGTGGTGACCTAAGCCTAGCCCCACGTCTGCAAACGGCAACAGCAAGCCTTCCGTTGGGGCCGCCAGCGTGATGCACATCGCAGAGTAGATGTTCAACACACTTGAGCCTCAGCACCCCGATGCCACCTCCACAGAAGTGGGGGAAGGACCAGGGGAGGGTCGGGGGGGCCTGTCCAGACCCGGCTAGAGGGGCTGCGCGCGCTCCGGAGAGGCCAGCGTGGAGGAGCTCAGAGGGGAAAGGGAGGAGCCCTGAGCTGGGATTTGAAGGGTGGGTAGGAGTTCACCAGAAGGGCACCAGGTGACCAGCACCGCACAGGAATGGAGGCCCAGGCCAGAGGCAGGTGCTGCCTGAAGCTGCCGTGGGGCCGAGAGCCTGGTTACAGGAGCTCTGATGAGCCGTGGTGTGGAGCTTGAATCTCATCCTGGAGCCCCCCAGGGTCCACTGGGGACTTTCAGGCCAAACGGTGACACATTCCAGCTACAGTTCAGAGAGAGCCTGGGCGGATGGAAATGCCCAGAGTTGTGAGTGTCAGACTCCCCAGACCCCCCAGGCCCCGGGCCGCAGAAGCCAGAGCTGGGGGTGGGAGGGGCCAGCGCTGGCTCTGGTGACTGAGGGCTCCTGCAGGACTGCTCATGACCCTGAGGTACAGAAAAACACCACCAGACTCCCCCGCCCCCCACCTGCTGGAGAATCCGGGGCTGGGCCCTCTGCTGCCCCATGTGGACACCAGGACACAAGAGTCCACCAGGAAATGTGTCGAAGCGACTAAGAACAGGAGCATCTTTAAAGGGCCTTCCTCTCCGCAAACACTGACCCACCAGCCTCCTCCCCTGGCCCCAGCCCCAACCCCAACGCTCAGTCCATCATGGGCCCCCGGCCCTGGAGCAGGACAGCTACCAGTCCCACTAACGCACAGCCTGCTTCCTGGACACAGATCCACGATCCCATCATTTCATTTCCCGACCGGCCACCCCACAGATGAGGCTGGCCACATCCTCCCCATGTCATGGCTGGTACAGCAGGTGGCCTAGATGGCACTTCTCATCCCCAGCACTAGTGACATCTTGGGCCGGGTGTCACTCACTAGTGAGGGCTCACCATGCACGGCCACCAACCAAGATTCTCTGCGGACATTGCCAAATGTTCCCTGAGGGGCAGAGCTGTCCAGGGGATGAAAGCAGCTGCAACCCGTGGGGAGTGACCCCAGAGCCTTCCCAAGCCCCCATGATGCTGGTTCCAGGTCTAGAGAGGAGCAGCTGGGGGCATGTGTATCCCCGCAGGGACAGAGGGACCCAAGAGGGCAGGGTCAGCCCCCCACCTCCCACCAACTGTAGAAGTGGACAGTGAAACATACCCCTCTTCTTTGGAGTATGAGACCTGCATCCTGACCTCACTGGCCCTTCCTGACCCTCTGCCCACCCCCCAACTCCATCCCACCCACGCAAATGCGAATCCACAGCTGCAGCCCAGCTGCCCAGCTTCCTGGAATGCCACTCCTGCCAGCGCCTCCCTTCGCAGAGGAACCCCAGGGACCCGGGACCAGCCCCAAGTGGCAGAGCCAGGCTGGAAACCAGAGGTCTCTCTGCCACCAGAGCTTCGGGGAGTCCCAAACATGTTACACCACTAAACCAAACTAAGGAATTGATTGGGGAAAGCAGATGGGGGAGGCTTGCATTCGTGGGGAGGTGAAGGTGGTGGGCTTTGCATCCCAAAGCAGTCAGGGGCATTCCACCTGCTAACCATGGTTCTGGTCCAAGTACTTAACCCCGCAGGGCCTCCAAGGGCTTTTCTGTAAATCAGAACAGCATTGGGGGAATTCAATGTGGTGATGTGTGTAAAATGATGCGCACGGCTCCTGGCACATGGTAAGTGCACAGTAAACCATCGTGCTGCTGTTGTGCTCATCATGGACCTTTGTATCTTACGTAAAGATTACTGCTAAAGAGCTTCTGGCTCAGGATGGAGCTCTGATTCCACATTAACTTTCTCCTTCTCTTATTCCTATGGAAATGGCCCAAGAAATATAAATACCAGGGAAGAGTCTACATCAACAACAGAAGGAAGCAAAACTCCTGAAGAAGATGGGGCTGGAGGGGGTGGGGTGGCGGTGGCAGGAGACACGGAGGGTGAGGAGCCATGGGATACGGCCAGAGGGCAGGCCGGGCAGAGGACCCACGTGCACGAGCACCTGTACTTGGCACTGAGCATAGGAGGCCTCTCTGCCCAAAATGTTGGCCAAGGTGAGAGCACAAGAATAGATGCCACTGGCAGGGCTCACAAGTGTCAGGGAGTCAGCGAGCAAGAGCAGAGAAAAAAGAGACCCATCTTGACTCTAAGGGCTCCACGGGAGTCATGTGGCTCCCCTGATGGGGCTGAGACCCCTCGCACAGCCACCCGGGCCACCATCTAGGATCCCGGACAAGAGGGCTGCTGCGCCCATGCCCTGTCGCTCCCGTCAGCCTTGCACAGGGACCAGGCCAAGGAAGAGCAGGCCAAGGAAGCAGCCACGTTGGGATGGAAAGCAGGTGGACAGACCTGCCCGAAGGCACCTGCGCAGTGGTTGGGGGTGGGGGCAGCCTCGGGGAACACACGGAGAGATGTTTGAGTACCGTTTCCAAATAACTATGGATCCCGGGTCAGCCCAGGTGGATCAGCGGTTTAGCGCCGCCTTCAGCCCAGGGCGGGATCCTGGAGACCCAGGATCGAGTCCTGCATCGGGCTCCCTGCATGGAGCCTGCTTCTCCCTCTGCCTGCGTCTCTGCCTCTCTCATGAATAAATAAATAAAATCTTGAAACAAACAAACAAAAAACCACACAAATAACTGTGGATGCCAAGGAAAAAGCCACCCCTGAGCACAACTACCAACCCATCAACCACCAGACAGAGGGTGAGAAACGTCCACGCAGGGAGCTGCGCAAATGTCTGCAGAGCAGACGCCTCCTCCAGGTCCCGGGCTGAACGCCAGATGGGCAGAGAAGGCAGGCCTGGGGATGGATGGGAGGCATCCAAGTGCTCAGAGTCTTGTTGGAGCTGAGGGTTTACCTGCCTCCTCTCCTGCTGAGCACTGCGTGGTTGGGGGACTTGGAAATGAGGGTCACGCTGTGTCACAGAAGGACAAGGTGACATGATGGTTAAGAGCATGGACCCCCGCAGTGCAGCCACCTGGGGTCAAATCCTGCTCCACCCTTTACTATCTATGTGACTGGGGAGACATGAATCTTCCTGGGCCACGGTCGCCACATCTGAAATGTGGGTATGAGCAGGGCCCCTGCCCTGTGGGGAACGTGAAGTGTGTGACAGGTAAAGCACCTGGAAGCGTCTGGCCGACGGAATGTGCTGCCCGTGTCAGCGCCATCAGGACCTCCGAGCGCCCCATCACGTTCCTGGGGGTAAGAGACAGATGTGGGGGCAGTCCCCATGAGGGCAGAGCTGGGAGATGATGAGGTGGCATCTGAGCGGCATCAGCTTGAACGGGGACCGGGCCACAGGGATACAGAGTGGCTCCCAGCCTGAGTCAGCTCAGCAGGGCCAGGTGCCCTGCAGGTGGTGGCAGGTGAACCCAGGTCCCACTGCCCACACCACATGCACGCACTCCCTCCTGCCGGAGCCTACAGTGGGGTCTCCCCTGCACCCACTCCCTGCAGTTCCATGAAAGTCTCTCTTCTTTATCTATTAACATGCAACCCACACCTCTCCCATGGCCTAACTCTCCGTCCTGGTCTGGAGATTCCATGAACCTGTTCCCATGTCCCTCCTTCCTTGCCAACATTCGCTGCTGCTGACCAAGGAACTGCCTTTCCCGAGTGTCTCTGCCTCCATAACTCCTTCATGAGCAAGGCACGCATGACTACCAGTAAGCGGCCCTCATGGCCTCTCGCATCCTTCTCCCACGGTGGGTGGCTCAGACGCCATGGTCACAGGAGCGGCCTGAGCACCAGGCTCCTCTGCCCCAGCCTGGACCACTGCCCGCCTGAAACAGCTTGGAGGGATAGGGGGCCCAGGACAGGGACAGAGAGCTGAAGCCAGAATTCTCTCTTCTCCCTTCCCATCTCCCTCCCCAGACAGAGCTTCAGAAAATGCTTCGGGGCTCAATGCTCCAGCACTGAAGGAGGGCTGAGGGTCTGCAGCAGGGTCGGCGAGCATCACAGGAACCCTGGAAATAAGACTGGCTCCAGAGAGGACCAGGGCTCCAGAGAGGACCACGGCCAGAGAGGAACATGGCCATGGAGAGAACTGCAGCCATGAAGAAGACCAGGGCCATTGAGAGGACAATGGCCATAGAGAGGATCATGACCATGGAGAGGACTGTGACCACAAAGAAGACCAAGGCCACAGAGAGGACCATGGCCAAGGAGAGGATCATGGCCACTGAGAGGACCATGGCCATGGAGAGGACAGTGGCCACAAAGAAGACCAGGGCCACAGAGAGGACCATGGCCACTGAGGACCATAGCCACAGGGAGAACCATGGCCACAGACAGGACCAGGGCCATTGAGAGGACCACAGCCACAGAGAGGATCATGGCCATGGAGAGAACTGCAGCCACGAAGAAGACCAGGGCCACTGAGAGGACCATGGCCACAAAGAGGATCATGGCCATAGAGAGGACTGTGACCACAAAGATGACTAAGCCACAGAGAGGACCATGGCCACTGAGAGGATCATGGCCATGGAGAGGACTGTGGCCACGAAGAAGATCAGGGCCACAGAGAGGACCATGGCCACTGAGGACCATAACCACAGAGAGCCATGGCCATGGACAGAACCATTGAAAAGACCATGGCCACAAAGAGGATCATGGCCATAGAGAGGACTGTGACCACAAAGATGACTAAGCCACAGAGAGGACCATGGCCACTGAGAGGATCATGGCCATGGAGAGGACTGTGGCCACGAAGAAGATCAGGGCCACAGAGAGGACCATGGCCACTGAGGACCATAACCACAGAGAGCCATGGCCATGGACAGAACCATTGAAAAGACCACGGCCATGGAGAGGATCATGGCCACTGAGAGGACCATGGCCACTGAAAAGATCATGGCCATGGAAAGGACTGCAGACACAAAGAAGACCAAGGCCACTAAGAGGACCATGCCCACAGAGAGAATCATGACCATGGAAAGGACAACGACCACGGAGAGGACCATGGCCACGAGGAAGACCTGAGCTGTACCCCAGCTCTCCCTGAGTGTGATCCCAGCAGGTAACCCAAGCTCTTTGCTCTGTAAATCGGGGTAGCAATTCCTTGCCCAAGGGTTCCTGTGAATGTAAGACAGAGTCAGGGAGGCATATGTGCTTCAACATGGTTGGTCCCTGACAGGTTCTCAATAAACTCAGGGAAACTGGAATTAGGCTGTGACAGGGCTGTGGGACCAGCAAGGGCAGTGGGTACTTCCCGACCATTTGGGGTACCCTGTGATGCAGCCTGAGCTCCGCCTGCCTCTTCTCTACCAGCTCCACTTCACCTCATCAACCAACCACCGCACAAGTCCTACTGTGTGGCTGGCACACAGTCAGCCTGCAGAGACGTGCAGGGCCTGGAGCCTGCCCTGTAGGCACCGTGCAATCGGCTGCACAATGACCCCAAAGACCTCAGGCCCTTCCTTGGCCCTGGGATCGTGACGCTTTTCCAACAGAGCAGTTTTTGCAGGTGTGAGTTAAATTAGGGATCTTAGATGTGGAGATGACCCGGGCGGGCCCTAAACGCCACCGTGAGTGCACGACAGAGACAGACAGCTGGGACAAATCTGCGTGAGGACGGCCGAGCAGGCTGGGGTGATGGCTGCTAGGCGACTGACTAGCCAGTGGCAGAGGCCAGAACGGGTCCTCCCCTAGAGCCAACCCATGGGGTTCAGACATCTGCCCCCTGGGAGAGAATAAGTTTCTGTTGTTTTAAGCCAGCAAGTTTGTGGCCATTTGTTACAGCAGCCCGAGGAAGGAATCCAGGCTCCTAGCTGAGCTAGGGAACACACATGCGTACGATGAACCCGAATTCGGTGTTTTAGATGGGCTGCTGCTGTCACCGACTGAGTCTACCTGAGTGACCAAAGGGGACCTGGTGTGGGCTGAGCGAGATTTAAGTCAAAGGCATGCAGATGTTAGATGGGGCTCAGCGGGCGGAGCAGAATCAGAGGAGCAGCAGGTGCGCATTAGACGCAAGAGGCCATAGGGAGCCAGGAGGCAACCTGGAGCAGCAGAGGGATGGGAACACAGCCTTGAAGGGCATCCTCCAGGTGCCCTGCGCAGGATGGACCACAGGGGCCCGGCACAAGCTGGCAGTCCAGGCACGGAGGGGTGGTGGCATGGGGCAGGCAGCTGCAGAGGTGGCGTGACGCTTTAGAAGGATGTCAGCAGGCTGTGAGAGTGGAATGGGGCCGAGGTGCCAGCCCACAGAGTAAACAGCAGCACCAAGACGGGGCCGGGAAAACAGGGTGGCAATATGACACTCAGGAGTGGCGTGTGGGTCAGCAGGCCGAGAGCAGACGTAGAGTGCGGGCATGGAGGGCTAGGGCAGGTGTGCATTGCATTCTAAAATGTGTGTCTGGAAAAATCCACAGTGACGACAGAGAAAACAGTCTGTCACCCCATCAAAGGGGTTAGGAGTCAGGGTCCCAGCATAAGCCACCTGGGCGGGGACCTCGGTTTCAGCACCTGCTGGCGGCAAGTCCCCAGGCAAGCAGTTGAACCCTGCCAGGCACTCCTGAAGCCCAGACCGTGCATTTGTCCCGTTCACGACTGGGACCCCACAGTGGGACTCCCAGCAGGTGTGCGGGCATGGAGGGGTAAGCCGGCTCCCCTCATCCTCACAGCCACATGAGGGTCAGTTCTGTATCACTGACTCCATTTTAAAAATGAGGAACTTTAGTCTCAGAGAGCTCGATAGCTTGGTGAAGGTCACACGGCCAAGGGGCTCTGGGGCAACTTGGGTCTGACTGTGAAGAGGGCGCTGCTGGCCACCACGGGGCCTTCCCCCGAGTCACACCATATAGCAGCCGGAATGGCCCCCAGAGAGGAGGGGTACCCTCACCCCCCGAGAACAAGCTGCTGGGACACCTGTCACTGGCTCGGCCGGGTCAGAGGACTCGGGCCTCCACACCGCAAAGCCCAGAACTCCGGGAGCCTGCGGTCACTTTACAATTTTGCTCAGAAGGGAGACACAGCGGGACTCCCGTGGGCTCTCTGGTCTGGTTCAGAGTCCCTGGTGGCCAAGGCCGGGGGGAAGGTCACGAAGCGCAGACACGGGCCTGGGAATGCCAGCACAGGGACGAGCTGGACAGATGGCTTCTTGGCCAGCCCATAGCGCCACGCGGTCATAACAGAAGGAGCGGGACGGAGCCCGCGAGGCCTGGCTGCCCTCACCTGTTATGACGACTTCATCTCCATCCAGCAGAAACCTCCTGGTCTGTCCGTTCCCCAGCTCGATGGCCTTCGTTCCTCTCCACGACAGCTCCAGCATGGAGCCGAAGCTCTCTGGCTCCTTCAACACAGGAAAAGGAAGAAAGCCTTGCGTGTATTCACATGTTGGTGAGTGGCAGCCATAGACTGGATGCTTAGCAAAGCCTAGGAGCCCTGGGCAGGGACAGGGTGCCGTGCCCCTCAAAGACCCTGCCTCGGTGGGACCTCGGCATGGTGCCCTCCTTGCTTTATTCGGGACTCGGGGAGTGTGGAACCGTGTACCCGGGCTCCTGCCGGCCCTGGGGGCTGCAGTGTATCCAGATGGTGCCATGCCAGACACCCTTCCACTGGGAAGAGATTTCCCATCCACCAAGAGGCTGCGGTCAGGACCTTGCAGGAGGTGCTGGTACACACACCACCCCAAAGCCACCAGCCCCTAAGGTTCTGTGACCCTACCATGGGCTTATGGTGGCATGGGCGGGCACAACAGTGGCACCACCTCATTCTGGGGGCTGCCCAGCAAGAGCCAGTGACAACCAGGCTCCGTGGCCGCTCCCTGATTCCCCCCACACACACGTCACTCTGACTGTCCCCTATACAGACACATGTGGCCTCCCATTCTGACAGTGTCTTTAGGTCTGGACCTGGAAGGGAAGCCCCGCATGCATCCCCGCGGGTCAGGGTCCTAGGATACATCCACCCTGGGTGGGAGGTCCCTTGTGGACGACCAGCTGAGGGCCTTTAGGTCTGTGTGTGTTGGGGGGGGGGGTTAGCTGGCTACATGGGCAGTGTCCAAGGCAACCAGACACTCACCGGCCCGCTGATGGTTCCAGAAGCCAACAGGTCCCCTGGCCGAAGGTTGCAGCCATTGACGGTGTGGTGGGTCAGCTGCTGGAGCATCGTCCAGTACATGTACTGAGGGCAGGGACATAGAGGGGACAGGCAAGGTGACTGACCCCAGCCTCTGGGCTAGCAGCTCCCATAGCCGCTCGGGACAGACAGCGTCCCCAGGTGCTCTCCCCACCAGCTTGCCCCCATTGCCCATGGCAACCACAAGCTGTCCTCCTGGGGTCACCCAGGGTCCTCCCCTCCCTCCCGGCTGTGCACTGGCTATGACCTCAGCTCCTCTGCTCCTTCAGGCGTCCCTAACCCGCCTTCTCCAGGAAGGCAGACCTTCTCCCTGCCCAGATGCTCAGTCTACAACCTGCTCAGGTGTCCACACTCACATGCTGCCCTGTGACTACCCTTGGGTGCTGAGTTGGCACGCTTTAGGACCTCATCACAGCAGAGGCTCCTCGTGGGCCAAGAGCACACTTGCATCCCCCCCCCCCCAGTCCCCACCCATTCCAGCTCCCAGGCCTTCAAGCAGATAGGGGCCACCAGCTGAAAGATGCAAACAGGATGTCCAGGCAGGCCCAGGAGTGAAGGAGCAGAAAGTGAGCTCCACCAGGGGAAGAGGAACAAGAACCGTGGCCCCCCAGACGCTCAGATGCAGTGCAAACCCACAACGTCTTAGACCTGCTGCTCCTGCAGCTGCACATCCGGGTGCAGGAAAACTCAGAAACAGGCCCCTTCGAGGAGGCCCCTGATTTCTTAGCCTAAGGAGCCCAGACGGTGTCCAGCTTGAAGGGAGACAGGAAACAGAGCTACACTGATTGAGGGTATGCTCGTGTACCCAGTAAACACGTGGAAAGGTGCCCAGCAGCATTGTCATCAGGGAGGCGCACGTGGAAACCACCACCCTCCGAGCAGCAAGGGAAGGCACACAGCAGCGGCGCCGGCCAGGACATGGAGCAGCCAGGCAGCAGGGATGCTGATGTGCTGCTGGGGTACCCCCTAGGCCAGCAGGGCCCCTCAGGAAGCTGCCTGGAAGTCCTTGTGGGCGGAGTACCAGATAGATGTGCTCTGTGACTGGTGACTGTACAGATACACACCCAGTGAAAAGTGCCCGTGTGCCCCAAAGGACGTGTTCTGGGTTGTTTCTAGGGAGTCTATCCTCACCCCCCATGGAAACAACCCGTGTGTCCATCAAGAATGGACTAGGGGGCACCTGGGGGCTCAGTGGGTGAAGCGTCTGCCCTTGGCTCAGGTCATGATCTCAACCTGGGATCGAGTCCCATGTTGGCAGGGGGTTGGCGGGGGGGGGGGCGCGGGGGCAGGTCCTTGCTCAGCAGGGAGCCTGCTTCTCCCTCCCCCTCTGACCTTCCTCCCTGCTTGTGTGCGCTCTCTCTCTCTCTCTCTCTGTCTCAGATAAATAAATAAAATCTTTAAAAAAGAGTGGACTGGGAGAACCAGTGGTGGGACATCTAGAGGCAATAAAGAAATGCCACTACAAACGGCAACATAGCTACGATGTGAGAGCCAAAGAAGCCGCGGGGAACAGCACACATGCTGTATGATTCTGTTTCCATAAAACAGAAGAACAGACTAATTTAATGCATGGCATCTCAGATTGGGAGGAGGGGGTGGTGACACTGTCCCTGGACGGGGACAGCGATGGGCAGCTGACGCCCTGCAAATCTCCCATTCCCCGACCCGGGTATTGGCACAAGAACGTGGATTTTGTGAAAAGCAATTGAGCTGGACACTTATAATTTATGCATTTTCCTCCGTGTGTGGGATGCTTCAATTACAAGCTCAGTTCAAACACAGATAAATCACTGGGACCAATCCAGCCCCTGCCAGGACAGAAGCAGCAGGAGACCGGACCCTTATAGGAACATCTATCGTTTCCCCAAGGAAACCACTGGTCACGTCTCTGCATCTGGAGGAGTCCCTGTGGCCTCATCACCTCTTTAGAAAGGAACAGGGCCACAGAAACTCCAGGCCCAGGCATGGGCCCATCCCCATGTCTCCACATCAGTGCAAACCTCCCGTTCCTTCCCAGACGGCCCTCCGTCTCCCAAGCTTCCAAGAAGCAGCCTGCCCAACTTCCACGCTTACCTTAAAATTGGACTTGCATATGGTCGCTGCCTGGCTCATTCCTTCTCCTGTTGGAAACACAAGCAGCATTGACAAAGGACCTTCGCTCCATTCATCCAGGACGGGGGGTGGGGAGGGCAGGGGGGACTTAGGTAATGGGTTTGGTGGCTGAGGCTTGCACTCGTCCAAAAGCATTTCATGTACGGAGCCCACAGAACGGTGAGCTCACAGCTCCTCCCGCCCAGAAGTGATGACCGGGAGACGTGCACACGTTGACACCTATAAGCCACCCCCCAGATGTGCAGCGTCCTGCTTTGTGATTCACTGCAGCAGCATTAACTGAACAGCTACTACAGGTAGGGCATAGGCCACTGCTGTTCGCTTCTCAACAGTGCTCACACCGCGACAGCCCTTTACTCCCCCAGGGCACGGGGCCCTGGCGTCCCTCCAACAGCTGCACAGAGCAGGTGTGCTCCTCAGCCCCAGACAAGGTCGGCCCTCGAGCCTCCTCCTGCCTACACCCATCACCCGGATCCCAGAAAGGGCTGTCAGAACTTCATATTCAGGACTGTGGTGCAGAGGGGGTCTTGGAAGCCCTCCCTGCACTCCATGCTCCCCTTCTAGGTCTTTCTACAACTCCGGACACCACATCTTGATAATCTCTCCCCTTCCCTGACAGGACATACGGCTGTATGTCTCCAGGCAGGCAGAGGAACCTGAGACACAAATGGGCCCCAAAGAGGGTCTGTGCACAGGAGGAGACTAGCCCAGATCCAACGACACTGGGTGCTCCTCTCAGCCTGGCCAGGAGCCCCCTAAAAGACTCGAGGTGAACCTGTTTTCCTCTCTGAGCCTCATTTTGCCACAGTGTAACATGGAAAGACAGGGCCACCACAGATGTCCAGGGGGCACCATGAAAGCTCTGAAGCCCCGTCCCCTGGTAGCATCCCACCCCCAAGGTGACAGCTCTGCACCCTTCTGCAGGAAGACCACCTCTGTGAAGGGTGGGGACGCTGGAACAGGCAGCAAGAGCCAGGGCCCCAGGAATGGGAACACCACCATGCTCTTCCTAGGTACTGGTCTGCTCTAGACCTCCATGTGAATCCATCTCATTAACCCTCACCACCACGGAGTCAAGTCAGGGCCATTACTGTCCCATTGTACAGATGACAACCTGGTGCACAGACGGGCCAGCCACTTGCCCAGAGCCCAGAGCCGAGCAGGTGTGTGCTGGGCCCCAGCCACAGCCTGCAGGGCTGGGCTCTTTACACGAATGCTCTAGCAGACCATCAATGGAGCCGAGCTGAAGAGCCTCCAGGGTACGGGGCCTCGTCTGCCAGGCTCTCAGGGCTGACCCTGCGTGGGGTGTGGGGGCCCAGGTGTGTGGCCCCGGAGCAGAGCCAGGCTTTCCAACAGGCCCCAGACAGAACATGGGGCCCAGGAGCAAGGGGTCGGTGTGTGTGAGTGCAGGCTGGACAGACTGTGTCCGAGGAGCTGGCACGGGGATTCAGGCAGACGGGGGAGGCCCCACCCAGACTCCACACATTCTGGCCCTGAGAGTGGAAAGTGCAGTGACAGGCCACAATGTCCTGCGAGCTCCGCCTGGCATCCTCAGGAGCAAAAGGCATCCCGTCCCCTCTCTTCCCTATGCAACATCTCCCCGTGGCTCCAGGCAACAGTGAGTGACACCCTCTTACTGCCCCCCATCCCCAGGAACTCAGGAGCAATTGGGGCAACGGTGTTGGGCCACATGTGCCCCTCCCCCAGGCCTGGGCATGCCCTCCACTCCACAACAGTACCTTTCACGGTGACAGAGAGGTTGATGTCGAACGTGTAGGGCTGGCTGTGGCAGAGATACGGCAGGGGCTTGGGGTCCTGTGAGGGCAGAGCACAGCAGTGGGGCCACTGGCAGAGGACTCTGGCCCGGAACCTGCTCCCCAGGCACAGAGAGAGACGTGGGGGCCGGAGCACCCACAGCTCAAGGGTGCAGAGGTCAGATCAGAGACACCCCGGAAAGCCAGCGAGCAGAGCGTAGGGGAAGCAGCAGCCAACGGGGACCGGGTGGAGGCAGCCCCACGGCCCGGCCACAGGTCCCCACGGCAGCCCCTGGCAGGGCTACCGGAAGCCAAGACTCGAGTAATCTGGGGTGATTTTAACAGGTATGTTTTTCTTTTTATGATTAACTTGGAGGCTAGGGACACCGGTAGGAATATGAAGTAAAAGAAACAAAGCTTCCTTTTCTAAATATATTGAGTTTAAAAACAGAAACTGCTTTAAAGGAAAACATCAAATAAGTAACAGGCGGTGAGGACCTCGGCAAAGGGCTGAGAGCACTGCAGGCCTGGGGAGACACGGGAGGCGGGGGGAGGACAGGGGAAGAGCAGGGGCTGCCACGGGCCCAGGTGGGAGAGGTCACGCTCTGGCTGCTGGCCCATCGGCTGGGTGGGGGGCCAGGACCTCCGTGGCCTGGCTCGAGACTGCATTCCGCCAATTGGGGCCCAGGGGCCGCCACCACACAGGACACAACTCAGGATGGGGAGATTGTGCAAGGTGGAGGCACTGGCCAGGACCCCTTCTTTTCCTGCCAGCCGGCTCCCCGGTACAGGGGCATGTGGGGGGCACAGAGCCTGCCCCCAGGTCAGACAGCACAGATGCCTGGTGGGCAAGCAGGCGCCAAGAGTATGCTTACCTGCTCCGGGTTGGGCACCACAAAGGGCATGAGGGCATCCATGGGCACCACCCACGGGGAGATGGTGGTGCCAAAACTCTTCCCAAGGAACGGCCCCAGGGGGACATACTCCCACTTCTGAATGTCCCGAGCTGCAAGAGACGGCCAGGCAGGGCTTACAGAGGACGCCCGGTCTTTCCCCAGGGCTCCATCCCCCGCCCCACCCCCACCTCCATCGTCCTGTCCTGCAAGGAGCTCTGGCCTGGCCACCCCGCCCGGGGCGGCATGCAACAGCATTCAGTGCCAAGGACAGAGTTCCTTTGAGGTCACTGTGCCAGGTCACAGCAAAAAGGATGACCAAAGGGCAGGCAGGCATTCCCCCCAGGAGGGGCTAGAGGCTCATCCTCCCCCGGTTGGGGGGCACAGATGTCCCAGGACTCAGCCGCTGGGACATGGGACTGCTTCAGTTTGTAATCTCAGCTCAGCAACGGAGTGCAATCTCCCTGTACCTCAGTGCCTCGCCCGGGAAAGGTGATGTCGCCACCCCTTGGAGGGGTTTGGCACGGGGCCCCGCACACAAGGGCTCACGAAGGTTAGCTATGATGTCTGCTTTGCGCCTGCTGACCTTATGAGAAACCCAGAGATCAGAGAGGGGAGGTAACTGGCCCAAGAGCCCTGAGCTGACAAGTCTGCGTGAAACCCCAGCCTCTGACCAGCACCGGACGCGAAGACCATCCGTGGCTTCTGTGACTGTGTCCCCAGCACCCGGGCTCCACCCAGGGCAGTGTGCACAGTGAGCCCGACCTCAGCACACCCACACCCCAATAATTACCGCTCCAGTCGTTCATGAGGACCATTCCAAAAATGTGCTCATGGGCCCTGGAAATGGGGATCGGCTCTCCAAACTTGTTCCCAGGGCCTACAAAGAAAGCCTGGTGTGGGGAAAAGTTGATTAGAATTGGGTGGCTTCCGGGGCGGCAAAGGTCGGGCATTTGCTGACCCAGGACAGGGACCAGGACTGCCACCTGGGTCCCAGGGTCCCAACCAGGCTACGAACCCACTCCAAGTTCTAAATCATGAACTGCACTCAAGCAGATAGATGGCCACCTCCGGAGAGCGGTGAGCAGCACAGGGCCAGCACACCTGGCCTCCTGACAGCCCTGGACTGCGTGCTGGCTCCACTCCCTCCCTCAGAGAGCCCCAGTCCACCCTGCCTTTCCCCTGTACCCCTGCACCCATGCACACACACCCCTGCACACACACATGCTGCATTTCAAAATCTCACAGCTACACGAGGCTTATAGAAGACAGAACTATCTGGCTGTGTACTCGTGTCATGAAAAATCTAAAGTCTGCCTCTGTGGGGGCACCTGGGCACCTCCACACCTCCACACCCCCATCCCCCCGCCCCCTCTGCAGAGAAACATCACCAACACAGCACTCAGGCACCAGCAGAATTCCAAGTCATCGTTGGAGGAAGAAGTTGGCAAAACAGTCATCAGACATATACAATCAGTTGTGACATTTGCAAAACCTGACTCACAGTTTCATTTGTTCTCTGACAGTGTTTAAACACTGCAAATAGGGCAGCCCGGGGGGCTCAGCAGTTTGGCACCGCCTTCAGCCCAGGGTCTGATCCTGGAGACCCAGGATCAAGTCCTACGTCTGGCTCCCTGCATGGAGCCTGCTTCTCCCTCTGCCTGTGTCTCTGCCTCTCTCTTTCTCTGTGTCTCTCATGAATAAGTAAAAATCTTAAAAAAAATAAATAAATAAACACTGCAAATAGTTTTTAATCAAGATACTAAAAAAAAAAAAAAAAAAACCAAAGAGCACCAATTTATCTGGAATCTTATCACCATCCAGGACGGGTCGTCTGCTCCCCACCCCACACCTCTCCACACACGGATTTTCTGGCTTTTCCCGGCTTGCTGCCCACCCCAAGGGGAGGGTGGGCATCTGCCCGGCTGCAGGGCCTCTGGACTGGCTGACCTCCCCAGGTCTGCGTGGCACCCTCTCTGTGGGGAGGCAGAGGGCTGGCTGTTTGGAAGTGTGCACACATTCCTGCCTCAGGACGGAAGCCCAGGAAACCACGTGGCAGGACCAGAGCTCAGGTGGCCCCACAACCCTTTCTCCTCCACCTGCCACCAAGAGACATCACCTAAAACCACAGGTGCTGATCGTGGGAAGCCACCCGCCACCTGCCTGCCTGCGCTTCCCCCCTGGGCCCGGCTCCACTGCGAACCCTCTGGCCACCCAGAAGAGCTCAATGTCACTGCCCCAGGAATCAGAGTCCTCCATCCACTCAGCTCCTCCCTCCCATCACTGTCCTCTTGCTTTGGGGGCTGCCCTAAGTTCAGCATCCCCCATACAATGCCCAGCCCTGCAGCATGAGGGGGTCCTCAGGGTGACGGAACTGACGACTAGTGCCAGCATCCCAGGGCTGAGACTATGGCAGGTACCGCCACGGGAGATGCTACCCTGGAGGGAGACTGTGTGGAGGGCATTCGGGATCTCTCCATGTTATTCCTCACAACTGCACATCACTCTACAGTTATCTCAAAATAAAAAGCTTAATCTAAAATACCCTGCAGCCCTGAACAGCCACGGTTCTGAGGTTGCGTGGGCCGTGGTGGCAGCAGGGCTACAGCGTCGATTCCTGCTACTTACAGTCTATCGATAAAGAACATCCACCTGCACACCATCAGTGCTACGGAAGATACCAGGCCTGTATCACCAACCAATACGTGACCTGTTTCTGGGTGTGCTGGGTTAAAGGCACCCTGTCCAACATCTACTGTTGACGTGCAGACACAAAGGCACAAGCACCAGCTCTGTCCTGTCCGATGCAGGCCATCCACCACCTGCATCTTCTCTGAGGGGCGCATCACCACCACCTCGTGCCCACAAACACCAGATGATGACAGTACAGCACTCAAGAGGTAACTGAAACAGTGAAAACATCCCCCCATGGAGGCAGCCCGGGTGGCTCAGCGGTTTAGCGCCACCTTCAGCCCAGGGCCTGATCCTGGAGACCCAGGATAGAGTCCCGCGTTGGGCTCCCTGCATGGAGCCTGCTTCTCCCTCTGCCTGTGTCTCTGCCTCTCTCTCTGTGTGTGTGTCTCTCATGAATAAATAAATAAAACCTTAAAAAAAATCCCCCAAAAAAGCACAAAAGTGCAAAATAACGTGGCTTTAAATAGTGCAAATAATACTTGTTCACAGTGTGAGCTGGAACAAGAAGGTGGAGCAGGGCCTTGTATAGTCCGGCAGGGAGCACACGTGCTGGGGACTTGGTGCAAGTCCACACATGACCCCTGCGAGCTCTGTCTGCGAGGCCCCTGGTGAACGTTCAGCAAGTTCCCAAACAGGGAGCCCGTGTAAGGATGGACCATCCCCCCCACCGCGGCCACCCTCTCGGGGGCGCTGCTGCTCCAGACACCTGCACAGGGACCAAGACCCAGCTTACCATTTCCAGCTCCATGTCCAAGAGCTTGCAGGCACCATAGACAGGAGGCTTAGCTGGAAGAGACCAGGAGAGAGGCTGTGGTGGGCGCCAGGCCACAGAACTGGCCGCATGGGTACACAGAGCAGGGACCAGGGAGGCCTGGGCGCTGGGGCCACTTACAGTCATCGGGGCTCATCTGTCCCATGGGCCTGCGGATCGGGGTGCCGGACACCACAACAGAGGAGGCACGGCCATGGTAGCCCACTGGCAAGTGCAGCCTGAGACAGAAGGCAGAGGGACGTCCAACAGTTACACGATGCAAAATAAATCTCCATTTTAAAAATTAAAAACAAAAAAAGGGGGCCCACATGTATACGCATGGTTCAAAACCAAAAGGTATTCCGAAGTGTGTATCCCACAGACACATGGATAAGCAAAGTGAGGCTGGCACATGCCGTGGACAGTGACCACCCAGCAAGCATGAACCCGGGGGGAAAATGCCAGCCCACGCCACACGGCGGGTGAGCCTTAACGACACCACGCTGGCCTGTCTCAGAGACCCAGACAGTTCCACAATCAAAGAGAGGGGTGGTTCCTAGAGCCACAGCAGAGGGCCTGGGGAGCTTCAGCTGTGCGACATGAGCAAGTTCTGGAGGTGGATGTTAGTGAGTGTCCTCAGGGCCACAGAAGCCGACACTCGCCCATGGTTCTTCCATTCTGGTCTCCAGCACCAGCACCACCGGACATGGGCACGTTAACAGCTGCCGTGCACACACGGCGCTCAGAGCCAGCTGGCAGCACCCACACCCTGAGCTGCAGGTGCCAGTGGCCAGCACCCTGCAAACTCAGCTCGGCTCACGGAGAGCAGCGTCCAGGGCTCGGCCTGGGTCACCCGGGCCTGTCGGATGGCAAAGCCCTGCTGCTTGCTCCGAGGTTTCCCTCCCCACCATCCTGGGACCCTGGCCTAGCCCATGAGGTTCAGAACACAGGAGCTGCAGGAACAATGCCAAGAGCTCTGTCTCCAGGACAGAAGAGCGGCAGAGGAAGTCAAATAGGAAAGTGCACCCCAATATCAAAATGTATGATAATGTGATTTAAAATAGCACAGTGCTGGGGCGCCGGGGTGGCTCAGCAGTTGAGCGTCTGCTTTCAGCCCAGGGCATGATCCTGGAGGCCCGGGATCAAGTCCCACATTGGGCTCCCTGCATGGAGCCTGCTTCTCCCTCTGCCTGTGTCTCTCTCTGCCCCTCTCTCTCTCTCTGTGTGTCTCATGAATAAATAAATAAAATCTTTAAAAAATAAAAATAAAATAGCACAGTGCGGTAGGAATGGATGACCCAACAATCTGGGCCCCGAGCATAGGTGACAGCATCATAAGGTGACAAACAGAGACGATAAATGTCTGCACAAGTCAGACCTGGTGGTAGGTCCCCCAGAAAAGACCTTATGGAAAAAGGTCTTGAGATGAGGTCATCCTGGATCACCCAGGGGGGGCCTAAATCCAGTGACAGGTCAGGCCCGGGTCACCTGCAGCCTCCATAAATTTCTGCCACTGGATTAGAGCAGGGTTATGGCAGTCCAGGAGCAAACAGAAACCTGTATGTCCCATCCTACATAGTGGGGAGTCCCAAGGCGGGGCACATATCTAAATCTGCAGAGTCACGTGACAGTAAGCGCTAGGAGCAAAGCACAGAGACTATCCCCAAACTCTTGGGCAGAAAAAGCCTCAGGATGACATGAAAGCAAATGTCATTTAAAAAAAAAAATGACGTGTTTGACTTTATAAAAATGTTGAGTTTCTGTATTAAGAAAGTGAGCAAAGAGACACTGCACTGGGAGAAAATATTTACCATGCGTGACAGCAAAGGGTTCATTTCTACCACACGTAAAACATTCTTTCAGATTAATAAGACGGCAGGGATTGCATAGAAAAGCTGGCAGAGATAAGGCCTGGATGAGGGTGAAAGAATATCGGAAACAGACAAGCGCTCCGCCCTGGGAGAAGGGACTCAGAGGTGGGCGCAGGGAGGGAGAGCCTGGCTTCATCACCAGACACACACACCCCTTATACTAAAGGATATCTGCAGGGTGAAAAAGGCACCTCCGTTGGCCCCCTCACAGCAAACGTCCCGAGAGGAGCCCCTTTGTTCGCACCTGCAGACAGCAACGCCTGGCTCCCCTACTCGGCCCGGAGCCTGCACGGGACCAGGGTCCGCTCTCTCCAAGCACCTGCGCTCCCAGGCCCACCCACCTTGCCCTGCCACCGTGGTCTGGTTGCTTCACTATCTCCTTCCCCATCTGGACTTTGACACACAGCTTCCTGCCTACGCGTGGTTGGTAGGACCGGCCTGGGGTGCACACCTGCCACCACGCTCTCAGTACACGCCACATCCAGAGGGCAACATGGACCAAAGGGGCAAGGGTCTGGGCCCTGTGCTCCCTGCGGGGCGTGGCCTTGATCTGGAGTTGGGAGACACCTCTGGGCCTGTCTGTCCTCTGGCAGGTCAACCCTTCTCAGCCTGTTTCCCCTCCCATGAAATGGGGCTAACAACCACAGCTCTGGAGACCCCACCAGCTAGTGTGTGGATCACACAAACAAACACGGCTCAGGCTGTGGGCTGGCTACACTTCGAGGGGTGGGCTGGCTACACTTTGAGGGATAAAGAATGTGGGCATGCTTGATGATTTTCGGGCATCGCAAAGTTCCAGGTATGGAGAAGGCATGTCAATAGAGTAATAACACAGGGCTCCCAAATGAAGGAGCCTAGAGGACCTACGCCTCTGGGGATGGATCTCCAGCTGGCGTTCTCTAGACAAAGGGGCTGAGGGGCTGAGGAGCCAAGGGGCTGAGGGGTGGTCCCTCTGTGTCCAGAAGTAGTGGCATCACAGGCATGGGGTCCCCTCTCCAGTCTCTTTACCATGAGCAGGACTATATAGCTCCTGGGAAATACGCTGCTGGAAATAGACGTACCAATTTGGCATCAGTGCATTCTCCTTGCCCCGGAACATGATCCCGACGTTGGTGGCATGCTGCCGGGAGGAGTAGAAGTCCGTGTAGTCACCTGCAGAGGAGACACAAGAGATCCCGGTGGTGGCCAGTAGCCCAGGACACGGACAGACCGTCTCAGAGCCCGGGACCAGCCAGGTCAGGAGGAGGAGGCAGGCGTGCAGGCTTCCCTTCAGCCCCACCCCGTGAGCGCACCCCAACAGCGCCATCCAAGGTTCTGCTAGAAATGCAACACGAGGGAACCTCATTCACAATCTGTTCTTAGAGCTCTCCTCTGAGAAACAAGGAACAAGGAGCCAAGACAGCCTGAGATAGACAATGGCCACTCCACCCCTTCCTGGGCTTCTCACGTCACCACCCACAACCCAGGGCTCTGCTCCCCACACCTTTGCTTCAGTGCCGTCTGCCACCTGCATGGCTTCTCGCCTCCACTGTCTGAGTCCAAATCCTGGAAACATTTGGAAGCCCCTTTCCCCCCATTCTCTCTGGCAGGACTGGTCCAGGAGGAAGAGGAGGGGAAGAGGAAGAGGTAGAGGAGGACAACAGAGAAGAGGGGGAGGAGGAGGAGGGGGAAGGGGAGCAGGAGGAGAGGGAGGAGGGGAGCAGGGGGAGAGGAAGGAGGAGCAGCAGCTACCAAGGGGTGTCAGGCTCTGACCACATGCAGCGTGACCTAGCTCTGTGCTCTGTGCGCTTCAGCTGCTCTAACCCTCCGACCTGAGGATGGGGTAAGTCGTGATTCATGTACCTGTCCTCTGGAAGAGCATTCTCCACCAGGAAGGCCTCCTGGGACAGTGCTAGGATTCAGGGCAGACCCAACACAAGGTCTGCCAGGGCCCCGCAGCCCAGGGTTCTGGAAGCTTCCAGAACACAGATGCCCAGACAAACCCAGTGGGTGGGCCGGGGGCTGGGAGACCAAGGTGGAGGGCCTCCTCTGCTTCAGCTAAGGGACTTGGCACATTTGCAACTTGTTGGTTGAAACTTCTATCAGACTCCCTGTGGAGGGCTCACGCTGTGGCTCTCAGACTCTTGTCTGTGGGACTCAGACTCTTGGATGAGCTGGGAGCACTACCTGCGGCCTCCGGGACACAGTGACTTGCTGCCAAGGGAGCCAGTGGCCATCTGCAAATCTTGGCAGGTAGCAGCCACCCGGCAAGGGCTCTGGCTTTCAGATGGGCCTGGGTCAGTGAAGGGGACGGGGTAAAGCCCAGGAGTCTTCCCCGTGCCGTCGTCCCCCCCCCCCCGCCAACAGGCAGCAAGGCCTGCAGCATCCGGCCAGCCATCTGGGTCCACTGAACTGCTCCACTGAGCTGCTCTGGGGACAGGGACCACACTCACCTATGATAGCTGGCAGGTGCATCACAGCAGAAGCCTGATCGGTGAACGCACTGCAACACAGAACCAGGGGCTTCAAGGTCAAGCACGAAGTGGGGTCCCTGCTCTGGACACTCACTGCAGGCTCAGCCCAAACCAGCCCTGGAATCCTGCTCAGAGCCTGTGGCCAGCACCCCCAGACTGGCCTAGGACCAGGGCTCAGCTGCAATAGCCCACCCTAGGGAGGGCATCTGCCCACAAGAGCCATGACGCCTCCTATTTTCCCCTCTAGAAAATGAGCCACATTATTTCTTCTCCGGAAACCAGACGCAGATGTGGAACATACTGATGAAGAAGGGAGTGGGCCAGGGGGCTGGACCCGGCTAGGACCCTCCAGTCCAGGCACACGAGTTGTCCCAGTCGGCCCAGAGCCCTGCCACCAACACCTGCCCAGGCAGGGGCTGGACGAGGCAGAGGCTGTCAACCTGACCACCCCACCGTCCCCAACTCCCACCCGCCGACATCCGCAGGCCCCTCACCGTCTCCGAAGCTCCGTGTCGTCTCGGAGCCTGGCATGGCTAGCGGACAGCAAGTTCTGCAAGAATGCTCTTGCTTCCTTCCAGGCGGCCTGGCCCAGGCCCATGAAGCTGTTGAGAGCTGGCTACCCCGGAACAGAGAGAGCAGATCACACATGGAAAAGCCCAGGAAGAGAGGCCGGCCACCTTCAGGGTCCCCCACTCTCAGGACTTTTGTCCTTAGCTTCCCCAGCTGCCCCTGGAACTGGGGAAAGGGATCATCCCCCGCCCCCACAACCTTGTGGGTTTGAACATGAATGGCAAAGCCCGGGAGCCACTATCTGGGGCAAAGGCCGGTGACCACCTGGCCTGGGGTGCAGCTGAGGGGGGCTGCATTCCTGCCATGGAAGCACACACTCCGTCTGCAGGGAACTAGTCCACGTGGACCCCTCCACCGGCCTCATGAGGTTTCTCAGCCATGGAGGTGTGACAAAAGGAGCAGTGTGCATTCTGAGGGCTCTAATACTTGTGTGACATGGAGAATCGCAGCTTATTTCAGAGGAGACCCCAACCAAGTAACGAGGATCCGATTCCTGTGCCCGAGGGTCATAGTGAGGATGGGATGAGAGATGTGCGTGAAACTCTTGGCACACAGGAGGTGCGGAACAAACACCATCCTCCCTCCTGAGCCATGGTGCGGGAGGCGTGCACCAAAGCCCCTGACCACTGATGGGGCCAGAGAGTCTCATCCATCCCACAGGGACATGGACCTCAGGCTGACTCCTCCCACCTGCTGGGAACACGGAAGGCTTCTGTGCATGCGAGCCGTCCACTCCTCCCTGGCTGTGTCTACAGACCCCGAGGGCCAGCACCCACTCAGCTCAGTGGGGGAAAGTATAGCAATTATTGGAAAGCCTTATCCAGAGACCCCTGGGAAGGGCCCGGCACTGTAGAGACAGACATCCTTCCCACCTAGGAACCCATGGGAGCTGCCCCCAGGCTGTGGGCTGCCAGCCTGCCCCAAAACAACCCAGCCTGACCCAGATAATATTTCTGAGACCTCCAGAAGCACTATCTCTTAACCGGAACAGAAGGGAAAGAGCTTCATCCTGGTGGCATGTGCAACAAATGCCCCTGAGATCCAGGACCTGCCATCCCAGTGTCCTACCTGACTGAACACATCCTGGTGTTTGGAGAGGATGGGCCCAGTGAAGAGGTGCTTAATGACACTGAGGTCCAGGATCTGGTCGCCAATGGCCACGCCAATCCTCTGTCTTGGCTGGGAGGGAGATAGAACAGTCAACAGGGAGGAGAGCCTTGGCCAGGCTTGGTTCTTCACCCAAAAGATCTGTCTAGTTAAGAGCCCATGGTCCCCCTTTGATGGTCCTCTAAGGAGAGGGATTGAGGAACTGCATCCTGAGCGCCGGACCCCAGCTCCCTCTGTCTCCCAGTGAATCAAGATCACCCCAGTGATCTCTGCCCCGGCAGAATCTGGAACCCTCTTTTTTTTTTTTTTTTTTTTTTAAGATTTTATTTACTTACTTGTGACAGACAGAGACATAGGCAGTGGGAGAGGGAGAAGCAGGCCCTCTCTGGGGAACACGATGCAGGACTTGATCCCAGGATCCCGGGATCACGACCTGAGCCAAAGGCAGATGCTCAATCACTGAGCTACCCAGGTGTCCCTGGAACCCTTTCTATTTCTCGGACAAAAAAAAAAACCCATGTTCACTGAATGGGAGATAAATCCCCTGGAGAGGGGAAGATGCAAGTGGCCTAGTCCAAGCCCCGTATCGAGGCACCGTCCCCAGAGAAGCTCCTCAGCTACTGCTTACATGCTTCTGCTGGTGAGGAGCTCCCTACCTCACCAAGCAGCTGGATTATTTCCCAGGACTACTGTAGGCCTTCCTGGGGGAATTTCTGTGCACGGCAGAACAGAGAGCACCCCAGGCCCAGTGTGAAGACCAGGGGCTTGAATGAATGAGGCCTGCTATGGCTCAAACAGCAGAGAGCTCAGGTCACCAGGGAGCATGAAGCCAAGCTGCTTAGAACATGCAGGGAAGTTCCTTCCCACAACATAAAATCCCAGCTTCAGCCCAGACTATGAAGGTGTCTCAAGTATTTGTCAAGGTCTGGCCTTTGTTCCATGATGCTGAGCTTTTCTGGTCAACAAGGAACCAGAGAGCATGTCTGCAGACCTGACCTCCGGGAGCCCCGTCCTGAGCTGAGATGCCACCTCTCCCGAGGGACCAGCATAACCCTTTCAGCTCCAGAGCCTAGATGTGGGTAACAGGCTGGCCTTCTCCCCGTGGCTGCTCATTTCAGCAGGCTGATAGGAGGTGGATACCTCCCCATGTACATTGGGCCCCGGGACTCTAACAACTTGGCCATCAGCTGCAGATGACCGGAGTGTCCTATCTCCGAAGCCACCGCTCCTGTCCTCACAGAGAAAGCCTCCTACATTCTACCAATCTATGAGTACTCTGAGATGGAGGAAGGGGGGTCTCGTGTGTCTTTGATCTCCAGCCCCCATCCCCCAGAGTCTGGCCCAAGTTGGGGTTCTTTTTTTTTTTTTTTTAAAGATTTTATTTATTTATTCATGAGAGACAGAGAGAGAGAGAGAGGCAGAGACACAGGCAGAGGGAGAAGCAGGCTCCATGCAGGGAGCCCGATATGGGACTTGATCGTGGGACTCGAGAATCATGCCCTGGGCCAAAGGCAGGCACTAACCCGCTGAGCCACCCAGGAATTCCCCCAAGTTGGGGTTCTTAACCATTCCCTGTGGAAGAATATGAACGAGGTAATGACTACATTAATTCACTACTGTTCCACCCAAATTATGAAGAGCTGGCCACTGGGACAGAGGAGGGGAGGCTGTGCCCTGGCAGCCAGACCAGCCCCGAGAGGCAGCCACAACCCTGGAACATCCACTGAGGGCAGGGACCGCTTCAGATGAGACCCCTACTCCCTGTGAACATGCTGAGCTTTCTGGAATGCCAGTGGGGCAGTGCGCTTTTCAGAGGGCCATGGGAAGGGGCCCGTCCCCCAGGCCTCCTTGGTGGCTGTTCGTGCACATTCTAACATGGCAACCGCAGGGGCCCGAGGTCCAAAGGCCACCAGCCACCCTCCAAAGGGCATTCACTCTCGAGTCCTTGAGAAGGCAAGTCAGAGCAAGTCACCAGCTTTCTGTGCCCCCGGGAAAGGTGAGGACATCCCTCTGAGGGCAAAGTGGGAGGGCGGTGGGCAGAGTGTGGTTGGCTAACACAGGTCAAGGGTTAACCTGCCTCATTGTATTCCCGTCCTACCAGGGAACAGTGTTAACTTTCCACATCCTTGCAATGTTTGCTCAGTCCTGGCCATTGTGAAAGCAGACATTGGCTCTAGCAGACCAGGGCATTTGCTGCAGGGAGGCCCACAGAAGGCTGGCCACATGGTGTCAAAGGTCCACCATGGGGAAAGGGGCTGACTGCCAGCAGCTTCATTTAGTAAATATTTCCTGAACACCGTAAGCAGATTCTGGGGATCTAGGGCTTACAAAGCTGAATCCAGAGGTTACCTTTAGGGTTGGAAGCAAAAAATACCATGAATAAATCCAAGGGAATCTGCTGTCCCCACCCAGGGATCTTCTTACATATTTGTCGATAAACCTCCAGTTTTCAAAGATTTCTTTCTACCAATCAGGCCATACTTACTAAGGGAGAACTCCTTTCTCTGTCCAAAGGGCTTCTTCTGGTCAGCAAGGGGAGGCCAGGGGGCCCACCCTGTAAGCTGAAAGAATTCTAGCTGGAGGCAAATTCGCTTGATTTCTTCCAGCCAGGTGGCCAGCAAAGGTGCTCATCCCTTTACTAAGCTACTAAAAATGTTGAGGTCCCCAACATTTCCTGGGTCCTAGGGTTAGGGTATAATAGCCTGCAGGAGGAACAAGCAGCCACCACATGGTGGTTTGGGGGCTGAAAACAAACCCCAGTAACTCGGAGTAGGCAGTGAGAACAGGTGCCCCAACTCCTCGGTAGCAGTAATCGTTCTCGCTCTGCTTGCCTGGGAGGGACACTTGTGGATTCTAATTTCCCATCTAATCCCACACAAACACGCACATGATGTGCACATCTACAAAGTTACCAGGCCGGATTCAGACCCACAGACACCCAGCACCAGAGGCTCCTCAAGAGATAGTGCCAAAGCCTCCCTCCACCCCCATCTCACTCCCCCTGCCCCCCCCCCCGCCCCGCGACCACAGGGCGCAAGGCGGAGGGCTGGGGGGGGGCAGGTCCAGTAGGGAAACCGCAGCCCCCCAGGGACCCCCGGGGGCCCCGCGGGCCGCGTCCAGCAGGGGAACCACGGGCCGGCGTCCTGCGTGGTCAGGCCCGGGCCACAGGCTGCAGGGCTCGGGCACCCCCCGCCCCGCCCAGAGGCCAAGCGAAGCCGCTCACGTTGCCTGGGGTGGAGAAGACGCCGTAGGGCAGGTTGTGGATGGGGAAGTCCGAATCCTCGGCCACCGCGACGAAGGACATGCTGGCCAGCGAGGAGCAGGGCCCGGCTGCGCGCCACTGGGCCCGGCAGGACCGCGCCCCGCGAGGTGCGACCGCAGACCTCGAGGCCGTCCCCCCCGGCCCCGCCCCGCGACCCCGCCCCGCGACCCCGCGGCTCCAGGCCGGCTCCCTCCCCCCGACTCCGCCCCGCGACCCCGTGGCTGGCTCCAGGTCGGCCCCGCCCTCCGGCTCCGCCCCGCGACCCCGTGGCTGGCTCCAGGTCGGCCCCGTCCCTGGGGTCCGCCCCCCCCGACCCCGCCCCGCGACCCCGCGGCTCCAGGCCGGCCCCGCCCCTGGGGTCCGCCCCCCCCGACCCCGCCCCGCGACCCCGCGGCTCCAGGCCGGCCCCGCCCCTGGGGTCCGCCCCCCCGGCCCCGCCCCGCGACCCCGCGGCTCCAGGCCGGCCCCGCCCCCCGGCTCCGCCCCCGCGACCCCGCGGCTCCAGGCCGGCCCCGCCCCTGGGGTCCGCCCCCCCGGCTCCGCCCCCGCGACCCCACGGGCCCCCCCCCCCCGGGGCTCCACGCCCCACCCCGGACCCCCTCGGCTCCTCCCCCCGGGGCTCCGCATCCTGCCCCCGCGGCTCCGCCCCGCGACCCCACGGGCCCCCCCGGGGTCCACGCCCCACCCCCGCCCCGCCCCCGGCTCCTCCCCCGGCCCCGCCCCGCCACCCCACGGGCCCCCCGGGGTCCACGCCCCACCCCCGCCCCGCCCCCGGCTCCTCCCCCGGCCCCGCCCCGCCACCCCACGGGCCCCCCGGGGTCCACGCCCCACCCCCGCCCCGCCCCCGGCTCCGCCCCCGGCCCCGCCCCGCCACCCCGCGGGCCCCCCCCGGGGACCACGCCCCCCGCCCGCCCTGGCCCCTCCCCCGCCTGGGGCGGTCCTGGAGGCGCCGCGCCCCTAGTCCTTCCCGCCGCCGGGACAGGCTCCCCCACGGCAGAGCGCCCGCCGCCCCCGCGGAGACACGAGTCCAGCTGCGGGCGCGGGTTCAGGGCCCCACGGAGGGCAGCCCCCCCCGACCCCGGTGGCTTCGGCCCGGTGACCCCAGCCCGGTGCACCCCTCCCGGCACACGCAGCCCCGGCCCGAGAGTCCCGCAGGAGGTCAGCGGGGGTCAACAGGGACGGGCGAGCCTTGGGAAGGCTGCAGTGAAGGAGAATGAGGTCTGCAAAGTAAAGCTCCCCTGCGGTTTCACATTCTGATGTCAGAAAGACGCGGACGAGCTGCTGGACTTCGACAAGTCACTTGCCTCCGGCCGCTGCGAGCGCTTTGTCCTCCGTGGGACCCCGCTCCTGCTCCCTCCAGGGCGTCTCAGCAGTGAACTAACTGGACGCAGGTGCCTGCGCAGGGACGTAGGAGCTCGTGAGGGCGGGGACGGGACAGCGCAGGTCCGGGCAGGGGGTCACAGCCGAACGCACGGAGATCTCAGGTCCGCCTGGGACAGTAAGGAAGTGCGGAGCCCGGAGCAAGTTCGACTCTGCCCTCCAGAGCTTGCTCCTCTGCAGAACAGACGTAAGATTCTTGCCTACGCTGGCACCTGCATGATGGTCAAATAATGCCTGGCACAGAGCTCCGCATCAATCAAGCACTTCTCCCTCCAGGGACATCTGACCAGAATGTTAGCCATTCCTTTGTTTCGGAGTTTTGCTTTTCTTTATGAAGAAGACAATCAGAAAAGGAGAGAACACTACTATAAAAGCAAAGTGGTCATCACTGATTGAACGTACGTTTATAATATAAATGCAAATTTCTTAGAGATCTAATAAAATTATTTTTAAGAAATTTAAAATTCTTAAAAAGTTAAAATTATGTAAGTATAGGCTGCACACTACTTATTAATACACAAACTAGTATTTGAAACACTGACTTTTGGTTGATTTGCATTGGAATTTTTACGTTAGAATCAAAAGCTAATGAACTGATACAAAAAAATGCATGCACCCCGACATCTACTGCAGCATTATTTATAATAGCCAAGATAAGCAACCAACCCATCTGTCCATCCACAGATGTATGCATAAAGCTGTGATACACACACACACACACACACAATGGAGTATTACTCAGCCATCAAAAAGAATGAGATCCTGCCATTTATGAGCACTTATGTTAAGTAAAATAAGTCAGAGACAAATACCATATGATTTCACTCATATGGAATCTAAAAAACAAAACAAACGGAACAGGAACAGACTCCTAGACACAGAACAAAGTGGTGGTTGCCAGAGGAGGGTGAGGTGGGGAGACAGAGGACAGGAGTGAAGAGGATGAAGAGGTACAAACTTCCAGTTATAAAGTAAAAAGTCACAGGGATGAAAAACATACAGCACAGGGAATATGGTCAATAATATTGTAATCACTTTGTATGGTGACAGGAGGTGACTGCACTTACCTCGGTGAGCCCTTGAGAATGCACACAGTGTTGAAACACTACATTATCCATCTGAAACTAGTATGCCAACTATGCTTCATTTAAATTTTTTTTTTTTAAATTAAGTTTGGGGATGCCTGGGTGGCTCAGTGGTTGAGTGTCTGCCTTCGGCTCAGTTGTGATCCTACGGTCCAGGGATGGAGGCCCCCATCAGGCTCCATGCTCAGCAGAGAGTTGGTTTCTCCCTCTCCTTGTGCTCCTGCTTGTGCTCTCTCACACACATATGCTCACTCTCTCAAATAAATAATAAATAAAATCTTTAAAATATACTAAGTTTGAAGGTCTAATATACAGTGTGGTGGTTATATTGGTAATACTGTATCATATGCTTGAATATTGCTAAGATATTAGATCTTTTTTTTTTTTAGATTTTATTTATTTATTCATCAGAGACACAGAGAGAGGCAGAGACACAGGTGGAGGGAGAAGCAGGCTCCTCGCAGGGAGCCAGATACGGGACTCAATCCCAGGACTCTAGGATCAAGCCCTGGGCCAAAAGCAGACGCTCAACCGCTGAGCCACCCAGGCATCCCAAGAGAGTAGATCTTAAATATTTTCATCATAAAAAAGACCTGGTAGCTGTGTGATGGGATGGAGGTGCTAATCATCCTGCAACTAGTAAATGTATCAGTCAATACACTGTACATCTTGAAGTGACACAGTGTTATGTGTCAATTATATCTCAATAAAGTTGGGAGGAGATGTTCATGAATCAAGGACTACACAAGTAGAGCGGACTGAAAATAAATTTAAGCCGAAATCCTAGACATTATTTTAATGAAGAACATTTAAAGGTTGTAGAACCATCCCGAGGTTTGGTTTGTAAAAAATAGCCCTTTTCCTTCAAAAACATTTTTTGACGAATAATAATAACAACAGACAGAAAGACCTACACATAAAGAAGAAGTTGGGACTCTTCTGCCCACTTCCCACTGTCCTCCTCCCTACATCAGCCTCGGTGATCTTCACTGTTCAGAGCCAGGCCTCAGTTCCTCCCTCCCGGACCCCTTGCTCGTTCATCCCTGCTGAAACAGCTCTGTCTTCTCAACGAGGTCAGCGGTAGGTAAGACACGTAGCATGTAACTTGCAGTTAGAATACAGTATTATACCTGTGAGTGAGTGATGTACACGAGGAGGAGGAGGGAGGGGAGGGAGGAGGGGAGGAGGAGGGAAGAGGAGGAGGAGGAACATGGAGCAGAGGGGAAGGAGGGGAGGGAGGAGGGGGGAGGAAGGAGGGGAGGAAGGGAGAGAGAATGTGTTAGGGTGGATTCCAGGCATTATCTGGAATCACCTGAGGTGCACATGCGAATGAGAAGGGGCTGTGAGTGCAGCAGGGATGACATCACGTCACATCCAGCGCACTTAGCAGAGTGGCCGGTGACCGGTCCTTGGGGCTCCCTGAGAAATGGCACAGTGTGGGTGCAGAGGCAGGGAGGCTGTCCTGCCTTCGGCCTGGAGGGAAGACAGGCTGGAAGCTGCAGGAGTCCCGTGAGCGGAGGGCCTGAAAGTAGAGGCAGCGCTGCCCCCGACCCGAGGCCCCGAAGTGACCGGAGCCGGCCCGCGATCTCCAGGTCAGGGGCTCCGCCGTGCCCAGCCCCCTGGCTCTCCCACCCCGACCATGGTCAATCTGCCCTGGGAGGGATGAAGGCAGATGTGGCAGAGGCAGGTGGTCTGGCTGGTTTCAGGGGGTTCCAGAAGGGGGAAGAGGAGGGGTGTGCTGCAGCTGTCCTGAGGCCTGACCAGGGGCCTGATTCCAGGGCTGCCTGGGCTGAGGGCCCGGAGCTGTTCCCAGGTTCTGTGCTGTTGGCCCGGCTCCTCCTCCTACGGCACGAAGTGTCTCGTCTGGTACGTCTGGTACGCCGCTTTGCCAACACCCAGCCAACAGCGGGCACAGGACGGGTGCTCTGCAAATACAGAAGGGTTAATATCCAACGGCGGAGCGAAGGCCAGAATCAGTAACCAGTGAGTGCCCCCCCCGCCCCCGCCCCGGGGGCCTGGGCCGAGAGCCGGCTCCCACCCTGGCAGCTTCAGCGTCAGCTCTGCTGAGCGCAGCGGGCTGACGGCCTCGGAGACACAGAACCAACAGCCCCTCTGGGGGAAGGGCGTGGGGCACATGTGCCTGTGGGCAGGGGTGTGGGCACGAGAGAGCTGAGGGGGAGGAAGATTTTATAGTTTTAAAATAGACTCGCCAACCCACTAATTATACATCGTGCCTGAAAACGCCGAAGCTGTTCTCCATTTGGGAAAAAACCATGCGAACTAACTTGCAAATACGCTGTATTCTCTTTCCTGTTCCCTTTGGGGAGGGGGATGCGTTGAGCATGTCCGTTACACGCCTTGCAGACAAAACGACTGCCCGCAACCCCACCACCCTACTCTCCACCTGCTCTGGTTATTAGTCCCCGTAATTTTCTCCTGAATGTGTTTCCACGTGGCCAGTTTCAGCAGCTGAAGACGTTGCGGTGCCTGGGGAACCCACGGATGAAGATTGTGTGCGCGGGGGTTTCCCAGCATGACTGCCTGTGCGCGGGCTCCTGGGTGGAGGGTGCGGATGCTCTCAGGACCTCCACGGCCAAGGGCTGGTTTGAGCCTGGGAGGCACCAAATTCGGACGCTACAGTGCAGCACCCAGAGGCTCCAGCAG